TCCCGCAAGGCTGACCAGTCCGATCACCTGTGCGAATGACGTACGGGCAGCGAACGGTACTCCAAGACCCTCTACTCTGAGCGTACCACTCATGAAGCTGCTGGGGCGTAAGTGTCTCGCGAGGACGCCGCTGCAGCTGGCCACTGCCAGACGCTCCCGACTGACCAGCTCCAGGGCGACAGCCACGACGGGGACCGCCACAACCCCAACTAGCGTACCACTCACTAAGCTGCTGGGGCGTGAGAGACTCGCGCGGACGTCGCTGGAGCTGCATCTGGCCACCGCCAGTAGCAGCAGTAGCAGCAGTAGCAGCAGTAGCAGCAGCAGCAGCCTAGCAGCGGTAACAGAAGTAGCAGCAGTAGCAGCAGTAGCAGCGCGGGCAGGGCAGGCGCGGCAGGCAGGCAGGCAGGCAGGCAAGCAGGCAGGCAGGCAGGCAGGCAGGCAGGTAGGCAGGCAGGCAGGCAGATGGCACGACAAAGCACTAACAAGGCAGGCACGCGGGAAGCGCGGGTAGGGCAGGTGCTCACCAGTGGCGGGAAGGGCAGGCGCTCGCCAAGCAAGCAGGGCCGGCGCTCGGCTGGCAGCGGCAGGGTAGGCGCAACGGCAACTGCTGCAGGGCGGGGCCGTGTCAGCGGTAGGGCGGGGCCGCGTCGGCGGCGTGGCAGTGCCGCGTCGGCTGCTGCAGGGCGGGGCCGCGACAGCGGCAGGGCAGGGCCACGACAGCGACGGGGCGGGCAGGCAGGGGCGGCGCACGAGCTCTAGAGTGGCGCACGGCAAGGGCAGGGGCCGCGTGCAGGCTCTAGGGCGGCGCGACGGGAAGGCAGGAGCGGCGCGACGGCTCTGGGGCGGCGCCCGGCTAGGGCAGGGGCCGTGCGCGGGCTCTAGGGCGGCGCGACGAGCAGGTAGGAGGGGCGTGCGGGCTCTTCGGCGGCACACGGCAAGGGCAGGGGCCGCGCGGAGATGCTATTGGTAGTAGGCGTGGTGTTGAAGTGGCGGTTATGGTGCACTGTGGCAGCTGGGAAAGGGCTGTGAGCAGCTGGGAAGGCCTCTGAGCGGCTGTTACTGGGTGGCGTGCACTGTTCTGCAGTGGCGCACTGCTCTGCAGGGTTGTGCGGGCTGCTCTGCAGGGGTGCGCGCTGCTATGCCATCGCAAGTTTGGGGGGGGGGGGGGGGGGATCTGATGATAGCCAGGCGGTAAATCGTATATTGTTTTGCCTCGGAATCGAGAATTGGTATATTTTGCAATCGGCTGACCATCAAACCCTTGACTATCCATTCTGGCAGTTGCTCCATCCAAAACCTGGTTGACACGTGGACAATATCAGCGCGTTTGAAATAGTTCAGGCACGAAAGGACAGGGGGTGGGGCTGTGACTGTGCACACACGAGTGTAACATGATGTGCACACGTGATTGGCTTTCTGCTAAACAAAGCGAAACCGAATTGAAAAATCTGACAAGCGGTGAAATTGTGACTGGAAGAGGCGCGACTATAAACGTTTGAGCAGAACGCGAAACAACCTGATTAGCAGTTCAACGAACGCATGAGAAGAGAGTGTGTTGACGATGCCAAGAACACCCGCGAAATCTGCCGAAATCGGATTCAAGCAGCAACAGCATTAACGATCCGTTACCTGCAGGCTCGGGGTGTCGCTCTTCTGGTTCACAGTTCGCACAATGTAAATTGTGACGTTCTGACATTGGGGTTGAGGGAGCGATCAAAATCAAGCGCAGAGTTGACTTGAAAACGCACTCCCTCAGTCACAAAAAGGTTTGAGCGTCACAAATTCAGGTAACCAGACCCGTAATCTAGTTTGAACAACATTGAAAACACGCTCTCACTCTTGCCCTGTACTGGCTGCTGCCAACATGTTCCAACGTCTTCATCTAGGGCTAGTTTTTTAGGTTAGAGCCCAACCGTTAGCCTATCTTGGCACCGACGTTCCAGCTTTTTGACAACACTTTGGGCGCACTCTAGGGTTCTTAACTTGGTTGCGGCTCGGCTTATCTAGAGATAATGCTTTTCCAGATTTCCCGCTTTTTTAAAGGAACGACTACACAGTCTGACATAGTTTTCTCGGTTTCCTGCATGCAGGAGCTTTGGTCAACCGTTGCCATCAAGACATATCGCCATCTTATACTTAGGGTGTTCTTCCTAGACGCATTTGTTTGGTAGAGCGCTCAGCCTGATCGGCCCTTTTTGTAGATGGTGTTCAGCATCCTACGCTTCTTGCTTGTACCTATACTGATGAATCAATGATTCGATTTCTTATCCTCTTGATGGTGTTCACCTGCGGTTGTGGACGACCTTGGTAGAGGATTGGAGAACCATCAGCAAGCATGTAGGAAACGCAGCAGGCATGATGCGGGTATTGATGAGGAAGTTTTCTAGTATGTACGCCAACACCATAACGATGTATCCGCTGATTTGGAGTCCTTGCGAAACACGGCGAGAAATGAAGAGAGGGCCACTCGGGCTCCTACACCAGCTGGGACGTTCCAATTTCCAAGTGTGGGGGAAGAAGATAAGACACCGCTTAGAAACGTTTATGTAGGTGTGGAGAAGTTGGCCGAACCAGAGGAGGAGAAGTACGATCCAGACCAGGCCTTGATGCTCGCTTTCAATAAGTGCAACGGAGGTATGGGCCTTTCCACCTATGATACCGACTTGATTCTATCAGTTATGCATTATCGTCGTTTTGTGAAGCCTTCTTTCAAGAACAAAGCTGCCATGGAGAAGTACGAGATGCAGAAGTTGGCTGAGATGACCGGGACACAGGAGTGGGAGGCTATAGATGTCAGCTTGGGGACCAATGTTAGTGCGACTCTGCACGTTACTTCTCTAGCGAAGGCTGTGGAATCTATGTTTTCTGACCGCAAAAACCATTTGGCCTTCGTTCACAGGCCTCAAGCGCTTTACACTCGGAATGGTCAGCGCATTTATGCAGGGCCAGAAACGGGAAACTGCTGGATTGAATGGCAATCCAAGGTTCCAAGAGGAGCGCTGACTGTACCAGTGATCATCTATAGTGAAGCAACCAACCTTAGCAAGGATGGGCGAGTAGTTGGGCATCCCGTTTACAGCACCCTTGGCAGTATTTCAGTGAAGAACAGATGGCAACCGCACGGCCACCGGATGGTAGCTATGCTGCCCCCTCCCACCGGCGTGGATTCCAAAACAGAGGCTGGGAAAAAGTTCCGGCGAGATGTGTTTCACAAGGCAATGGAGCATGTTCTCGAAGACCTGAAGAAAACATCTTATGAGTAAGCTTCAGTCGTGTTTTAACCTCTGTCTGCAAGTTCTTTACGTATATAACCATCACCCCATGTCCTTTCGGTTTCAACCCATCTCAATCACTCATTACCCCATCTTCTTCCCCCCATTAAAGTGTCTCCACCATTATGAGTCAAATCCCCTCGCCCATCACCGCATGCTCCTGCATGACACTGCACATATCTCTTACAATTGCACCTCGCATCGAGCACACGTGAACCCACTTCACTCCCTCGTCACCCCATCTCTCTTACTTATCACCCCATCTCCCTGACTCATCACCCCATCTCTCTCACTCATACCCCATTTCCCTCACTCATACCCCATTTCCCTCACTCATCACCCCATTTCCCTCACTCATCACCCCATTTCCCTCACTCGTCACCCCATTTCAATCACTCATCACCCCATCTCCCTGACTCATCACCAGAGTTCCCTCATGCACCAGCCCATCTCCCTGAATCATCACCCCATTTCCCTCACCCATCACCCTTTATCCCTCACTCATCAACCCATCTCCCTCACTCATCACCCCTTTTCCCTCACTCATCAGCCCATCTCCCTCACTCATCAACCCATCTTCCTCACTCATCACCCCATTTCCCTCACTCACCAGCCCACCTCCCTCACTCATCAACCCATCTCCCTCACTCATCACCCCATTTCCCTCACTCATCAGCCCATCTCCCTCACTCATCAACCCATCTCCCTCACTCATCACCCCATTTCCCTCACTCGCCAGCCCACCTCCCTCACTCATCTCCCCATCTCCCTGACTCATCACCCCATCTCGCTCACTTATCACCCCATCTCCCTTCCTCATCGCCCCACCTCCCCCACTCATCTCCCCATCTCCCTGACTCATCACCCCATCTCAGTCAACCTTCACCCCACCTCACTCACTCATCAGCCCATCACTCCCAGTATGGTGGGTGCTGCCCCTATTTTACAACAGAGGGATGATTGTACAAGACCCGTTCGGAGCCGAGTTCGTTGTGTATCTGTTCGTGTATGCTATCGTTGCAGACCAACCTGAGGCTTGCAAACACGCCGGCACTTTTGCAAGTCATAAAGCAAAATACCCGTGTCATAAATGCTTGGTTAAGACAGAGGACATCAGCAACATGCAAGTTCCCGTGGTTTACCGGACTGAGTCGGATCAAAGAGCTAAGGTGGACGAGTTGTTGGCCATCACTGCACCGATTGCAAGGAATGATGCTTCAAAAGCTATCAGCACCCACCCTGTCAAAGTGAGTGCTTCTAGCATATGTCTATATACTGCAGCACCCATGGTTCTGCTCATTTTGTTCCTACCACGTTGCATAGTCTTTTCATGCGCTCGCCAACCCATCTCCCGCACTCACCAGCCCATCTCTCTCGCTCATCAGTCCATCCTCCTAACTCACCAGCCCATCCCCCTCGCTTATCTGCCCATCTCCTCACTTGCCAGCCCATGCCCCTCGCTTATCTGCCATCTCCGGCACTCGCCAACCCATCCCCCATCGCATGTCTGCCCATCTCCATCGCTCACCAAGCCATAATCTGTGTGCGTGTGTGTGTGAAATTCTGCTTATCAATGTTGCATACGCTCCTTTTTTGTACGCTGCCATTTGGGGTTTCAAATTGGGGGGGACTGAAGTCGGAAATCCCTACCGTGCACTGCTTGTTGAATTCATGCACGCGCTAGACATCGGCATCTTCATGCACATCGTGTCATGCATTCGAATCATGTACAAGGATGACACAAAAGTGTTGAAGGCTCTTAACAAGGCACTGCAGGATCTGGGTGATGCAACCCGCATCTCGGGATTCCGTATTCCAAAGAGGGATAAAGGCGGCTATTTTTCTGGTGCTGCGAAGTTCCAGGCTTTCGAGCACCGCGCTGTGATGCAGGTCGTAACCATCGTGCTTGCCGGTATAGTGGATCAGAAGATTGTCGATGCAGTCGCGGCGTTTGTTGACTGCTACATGCTGACATGCAGAAGATGGTATCACACCGACGACGCATTGTCCGAACTCGACAAAGCCATAAAAAAGTATGGACCCATTTTCACAGCCTAACCTACTTTTCTCGCCCCTATTTGTCCATCCTTGTTTCACCCTTATCGTTTCTTGAATACGACCCACTTCTCCATGTTTGTCTCAGTCTCTACCTCTCCAACCCTCTCTATTGTCTCTACCTCTCCATCCCTCTCTATTGTCCTTACCTCTCCATCCCTATCTATTATCCCCTCCTCCACCTTCTCATACCATCCCTGCTTCGCCCTCCTCCTTTCTTTCTCACTCCCTACTTGCCTATCTCTCTTCTCCACGTCTACCTCCCTGCTGGTCCCCCGTCCTCCCTGGCGAATTGTCCCTGCATAGCCCATCCTCCTCCCTCTCCTCATCCCCTGCAGCTCCCTCCCTCACATGCTATTCCTCCCTGCAGCTCCCTCCCTCACATGCTATTCCTCCCTGCAGCTCCCTCCCTCACATGCTATTCCTCCCTGCAGCTCCCTCCCTCACTTGCTATTCCTCCCTGCAGCTCCCTTCCTCACTTGTTTTCCTCCCTGCAGCTCCTTCCCTCACATGCTATTCCGCCCTGCAGCTCCCTCACTCACATGCTATTCCTCTCTGCAGCTCCCTCCCTCACATGCTATTCCTCCCTGCAGCTCCCTCCCTCACTTGCTATTCCTCTCTGCAGCTCCCTCCCTCACATGCTATTCCTCTCTGCAGCTCCCTCCCTCACTTGCTATTCCTCCCTGCAGCTCCCTCCCTCACATGCTATTCCTCCCTGCAGCTCCCACCCTCACATGCTATTCCTCCCTGCAGCTCCCTCCCTCACATGCTATTCCTCCCTGCAGCTCCCACCCTCACATGCTATTCCTCCCTGCAGCTCCCTCCCCCACATGCTACACCTCTCTGCAGCTCCCTCCCTCACATGCTATTCCTCCGTGCAGCTCCCTCCCTCACATGCTATTCCTCCCTGCAGCTCCCTCCCTCACTTGCTATTCCTCCCTGCAGCTCCCTCCCTCACTTGCTATTCCTCCCTGCAGCTCCCTCCCTCACTTGCTACTCTGACCTACAGCTGCCTCCCTCGCTCGCTATTCCTGCATGCCGCTTTATCCGCCTTCACACTGCTGCCCTGTTTCGCCCTATATCCTGAATTTGTTTGTTGTTTGCACACAGGCTAATCCCACTCTTGAAGGAGGTGTTTGGGGATGCTCAAGCTTCAGAGTTCAATATCACAAAAGTTCATTCATTCGCACATGTCGTTGATGATATCCGTCGCTCCGGTGTACCCGTTCATTACAACGCCAACATGTTTGAGTATTTGCACCAACCACTGGTGAAACGCGCCTACTGCGGAACAAACAAGCGGGATGCTACGCCCCAAATTGTGAAGCATACTGTTCGTGCACAGATGCTGCGTTTTCTACAGGCATCTGACGACAAGGCAGAGGATAGAGCTCAACGAATGGTCGCCCTGCAGCAGGTGGGAGTAACATATTGATAAATCTACCACATATGCTCAACCATGTTCAACATCCTTCTATTATGATGTGCATGAGCTCATGGTAGCCTCCCTGGCTTTGCAGGCAATTGATACAGGAAAGAACACGCTTGCAAGCACGTCTTTCAAGGTAAATTGGAAAGAAGCTGATCCACAGTGTTCAGAATGGGGTGCACACATTCGAGAAGCTCCGGGTGACATGTCTAAGTTGCAACAAATTTTGGAGACCATGGAGAGTAATGAAGAGGTTCTTAGTACTCAGCTGCGCATAAAGAAAGGGATAGCGATAGCGGGGGACGAAGATTTCACCAAATACTCAAGTCAATCTCACTATGTGCGTGCATGTTCTTCCTTCGGGGGCAGGCATTGGTTTAATGACGTTGCGGTCCAGGGTGAGGAGGATGTCACCCGCGGTGGTGAGCGGTCGAGGAAAGAGGTCATTTGGCATGCTCGATTGCTATTGTTGTTTGTTATCGACGTGTTTGTTCCACATACGAGAGAGGTGGAACAAAAAGAGTTGGCCTTTGTGCGCTTCTACGAGGCCACCGGTGAGACTCACATATCTCATTGCCCGATCATGACATGGGAGGATGCTGAGAATGAGTATCACGTAGTTGACATTGATAATATCCTTCGAGTGGCGCACATAGTTCGAGTGGGTGGCGATGTTTTTGTTAATAATGTATTGAAGTTCTATGAAAGCGAGTGCAACACCGACCTCAAACTTATGTACAAGGCCCATATAAGATGAGAAACCGCTTACTCGATAGGTACTAGTGAGGATCCTTGTACCTTGATCCCATAGATATACCACCATCGGTTTGGGTGAAGAGTGAGTTGGAAAAAATGAACGTTAAGCCGCGTAAAACAACCAATACATAAAAACCCGGGTTGCTTGGAAAGAGCCCTGCGATATAGTTGGAGACAGATTTTGGCATACACCTTCATATAACAAGAAAGAATCCAAAAAATACTAAGGGTCGAATGAATGGACTGTGGTTATCGGTGATAAAGGGGAGCAGCCGGCAAGGGAGTACACGAAAGAGGAGCGGCCCGTCGATGACTCGTCGGCCAATGTTATGGAAGATGTCGGCGAAGGTGATACGTAGGACGAGGAGATACGATGGCGGCTCGCTTGGCGAGAGGTTGTGCTTCGACTGTATGGCGTCTGTTGACAGGATAAAGAGCCGCGTCCTCGCTTGGATGAATCCGACGTTGCTGCCCAGGGCATGGAGTGTGCGGCTTGTGTTATTTGCGACGACAGATGAATTTGACTAAGCGGTCGTCGATTTGTCTTAGTCAATAGAGGTTTTCAATATGCCCATCCTTTGAAGCAAGGGTGGTTTTCGATGCGGATTTAACTAGTACAACGGGAGCTAGACTACGGGCTAGGCACGGGGCAAGAGTGATCGTAACGGTTGTTCGTTCCTTAGTCGTTTCCAAGTGCACACACTACTTGCTAATTCACAGGAAGAGTTGGCAAGAGTTTCACTAAGAAAAGTTGACAACAATAGTACAATCAGGTTGGCAAGACAAGACTACTGTCAACGGGAGTTGTGTGTTGGCCCCGTCCTCGCTTGGGCGAAGCCGACTTCGTGGTCGGGTGTGAGGGGAGCAGCCGACCTGCTGCAGTGGGTGAGCTGGGTGACGAGGAGGTCGATCTGCGCGGGGGGCACTGCACGGGCGCCGACTTCAGGGAGGTCGACCTGGGAAGTCGACCTGCGGAGGGCGTCGACTTGGTGACGCCAACTTGGGGCAGCCGACTTGGGTGGTCGGCTGACAGGACTGCTGGTCGACCTGGTGGTTGGTCGACCAGGCCTGCTGGTCGACCTGGTGGTTGGTCGACCAGGGAAAACGTCGACCTGGTGGTCGACCGAACTTGGTGGTCGACGGAGGGGGGGCCGACATCAACCTCGACTCAGGACGCCGAGCAGCTGGGCGTCGAGTAGCAGGGCGTCAACTTGGTGACGCCGACTTCGGGTAGCCGACTTGGGTGGTCGGCTGACAACTACGCTGGTCGACATAGAGCTGGTCGACCAGAAGTGACGTCGATCAGGGGCTGGTCGACCAGGGGTGTGGTCGACCTGGTAAGGTTGACTTGGGGTGGTCGTCGACTTGGGAGGTCGACGGGCACATACAGGAGCAGCTGGTCGACGTGGTTGCCCGGTCGACCAGGTTACCTGGGTGACGAGGTTCTGCGGAGGAGTGCGACGGTCGCCCAGGCGAAGTTGGCGAGTCCGACCTCGGTGGTGGTATCCCGAGGTCGACGTGGCTGATCAGAAGCAGTCGTCAGCACGAAGTTGACTTGGTGTGTGCGCTGTGCAGGTGACGAGGCACTGCACGCCAATCATCTGCAAGCACCTGCGAAGCGGGTGCACTGCTGTCCTGCGAGAGCAGTCAACGTTGGCACGCCGTCAACCTGCGATGTTGGCACGCCGTCGACTTGCAGCACTGGCAAGCCGCGCCTCTGCACTGCTGGAGCGCGGTCGACCAAGTCGTGCTGGCACACGGTCGACCGTGCTGCGCTGGCAGTAGACTTGCTTGCATGCTAGCTCTGATGTAGTCTAGTCTTGCCAACTTCATTGTACCATTGTTGTCAACTTTTCTTAGTGAAACTCTTGCCAAATTGCCCCGTGAACTAGCAAGCAGTGTGTACACTAGGAAAACGACTAAGGAACGAGTGAACGCAGAGATCACTGGAGCACCCGTGCCTAGCCCGTAGTCTAGCTCCCGTTGTAGCAGTTATCTCCACATGGTGCGGTGAGCGTGGACGGCACACGACTTACCTTTCAGTCAGGTCGACGTAGACATCACTTACCTAAGTTGTTCGTAGGCCGGCAGCCGTGCAGTCACTAGCGTGCGCGTAGGTGACGCCAAGGGAATGGAGACCCTGGAAGCACAGCTGGAGGACGCGAGGACATGCCATGGGGCCCAGGAGTACGGAACGATCCCCTGGGCGGTTGTGGAGGCTGGCATTCGCACCATGTGGGCGACGTTGCACCCTTCTCGACCTGCGTCTCCTCGACCGGTGAACACAGAGGGCGGCGTCGACGTGGGCATCAACGCCGGTGGTGACCAGGTTGGCAGCAGTGCGGGAGGCACGTCGAGGCAGAGAGGTGTGATACACGCCGATGAAGTCGGCGGCGTTCAGGCGCAGGAAGTGCGGCCGTCGGCGGCTGCAGGCTCCTCGCATGGCAATGTCGGAGGTCGACGGAGCGGGTTGTCGCCGATGTCGGTCATCTCGCGGTGCTGCTCGCCGGGCGTGCAGATCGCCTTGAAGTGGTGCCGAGAGTACCTCGACGCCGGCCACCGGGCGTGGCACTTCATCGAGTCGACCTACCAAGTCACCGACGACTTGTTCATCGCCCAGCTGGAGGGGCAGCTGACGCACCTGCTAATGGGTGACGAGGAGACGGCGACCGACTACTGCAACCGGGCCCGGCGAATTCTCGCCACCATCAGGATGGCTGGCGCGCAGTACTCGACGGCGTCGTACGTCACCCACGTCATGCAGGGACTCTCGAGCAGCTACAACCTTCTGAAGCGGCTGTCAATGGCGCCGAGCACTAGGACGACGCTCAACGAGGACAACTTGACCTCGTACATCCTGCAGGACGAGGCGATGCAGGAGGCAGAGCGGTCACAGGAGCTCTTGGCGCAGGCGAACCTCGTCGCCCCGGCGAAGCAAGGAGGTCGACCGGGGCAGCGCGGACAGTCTGGCAGCGGTGGTAGCAGTGGCTGGAAGCCGGCCAAGGAAGTCGACAAGAAGAAGTCAATCAAGGACATCGGTCAAGGAGGAGGAGGAAGTCGACGTCGGGAGTGCTGGCTGTGCGGCGACCCCGACCACCTCTCCTTCGAGTGCCGTGACCGCAGTGACTCCGACGACGACGACGCCAAGGGAGGCCGTGGGAGGTCTGGCAGTCGTCGTCCTCGTCGAAGAGGGAACAAGCCGCGCAAGGAGAAGCAGTCGACCAAGTCGACCTCGGCGAAGGACGCCGACTCCTCTGCTGGCGGCAAGGAGCGGGATGACAAGACGGCGTCGTGCTCGCTAGTCGGCGTCGTGGAGCCGACCGTCTCGCTGGCGCCGGAGGCCGGAGAGGACTTCTAGGTGGTGGCGGCAGCTGTGCAGGCGAACCCGGCGGTGGTCCTGCTCGACAGCAGCTGCTCCCACCACCTGATGGGGACGAAGGAAGCCTTCGTCAACCTGCAGCCGAGGGGCTCCATCAAGCACGTGCGCGGCTTCAATGGGGCGCTACAGGATGTCCAGGGCCGCGGCACCGTCGCCCTAAAAGGGGAGGCTGGGAAGAAGGTGCTCATCCCCGACGTGCTGTACGTCCCGGGTGTGCGGGCAAACCTGCTATCGTCCGGCCAGCTGAAGGAGCACGGCGTGAAGCTGCAGGAGGACGGCGACGGGATGCTGCTCGTCTCGGCAGCAGGAGAGGTGCTCGGTCGGGCGACGTACTCCGGGCGTGTCCTCTGCACCGACCTGCGTCCCTGCTCAACGAGGTCGACGTCGCCCACGCCGGAGGTTGTGGCCCTGCGGGCGATCGTCTCGAAGACGAAGTCGACGCCGGACAGGATGCATGCGAGGCTTGCGCACGTCGGCATGGACACCATACGGAGCTCGGCGAAGCACGAGGTCGCCACTGGGCTGGACCTCAAGTCGGCGACGGGCGCCGA